AAGAGAGGTAACACAGGCTACCTTGGAGCAGATGCAAAACTGATGCCAAACTGGAGTCTTCGCAAAGAGTCTTTATTTCAGCAACTTTGGTTGACCAATGAAAAACTGTCAAGTACTCTCTGTGGGGTTTGATGAAACTTGTACGACAACACTTTGACTGCAATATCACTTCTTTGCTGTTATAGAAAAGAGGTTTTTTGAGTCCTAACAAGTTTGTGTGGATTAAAGAGAGCAAATTTGACAGAAACTGGAAGATACTTCCGCAAATTCTTATTGATTAGAAAATACACGTTTGGTGTAATTCTAGCTTTTTTCTGATTGTAAATCTGTTAGTTCTTTCGGTTTAACTATGGGGTACCAGTTATTTTTTGTTGTAAATAAGTTCAATAGAAATGTACCTTGTTGCTTTGGACAAGTGTGTCTGTGAGTGCGGAGTTCAGTGAGTAATTACAACAGTCCTGTAGCAGCTTTTAAACAGAGTGTTACCTCAACACACTGCTGCTAATCTATGTTGGCACCACGCTGAGGTACACAAAGACAACACTGACCTGCTGTGTACAGCCTGACCTGGCATCTGTATGCTTCTGTTTGTGGCCACCCGCTGTGTGTGCATGTGTGTGTGTGTGTGCGCGTGTGTGGAGGATGATGTGTGGGTGTCTGCCTGGAAATGTGTGTGTGCAATGGGCAGTATCTCTCATTGGACAACAAGGCAGCAGACAGATGGAACTGACAAATGCGCGCACACACACACACACAGGTTGTGATATTACCGCTGCAATTAAGCAACATATAGACAGTTCCGAAAATAGTTTGTGCCAAACACGAGCAAAAAAGGAAAAGGAGAAAAGTCTTTGTTTTCGTCTCTTCGACATTCACACAAGCTCTATCACATATTTGCCGTTAACTCTGATGGTGGAGAAGTTGAGCCCGGCTCAAATGGAAACGTGGGAAACCAGCAGAGCAGCTGATCAAAACCCAACTTTATCTCAGTGTGTGGCGCTCATTGAGAAATGGGGATCATGTCTCTGAGAGTGGAAGCTCTGCAGCTGGTGGACATGGAGGAAATCCAGGGGCTACATGAGTCCCTCTTTAAAGAATGATCAATGAAAAAACTTTAATATAATAACAGTTATTAAAAAAAGTTATCATATTGACTTCAACAAGCCAAACTCTAATTTGAAACACCTGAATTCTGATTTTCCAGTATTTTTTCTTTTTAAAACTCTTTTTTTTTTTTAACGATTGTTTAACCCTCCCTGGTTATTTCCTCACAGTAATTAAGTAGTAAAAAAAAAGAGTTAATTACAAGACTAAAGTTGTACTAAAGTCATTTTCTTATGAGAAAAAAGTGTTGCAAACTAAGTGACAGTACCTGTGTCCACTTGGACTTGAATCACACATTGCTCTGATCATGTTTCCTCTTGTCTTGGTACATAAAAATAAATATATAACGTAAAAAAACAATTTTCCTACATGAGTAAAGCCATAACTAAGTCATATCACAAGAATACGGTTGTCAGAAAAAACAATTCCTGAAGTTTAAGTCTTGTGTTAAGAAAGTAAAGTCCCCTTGTGATGTAAATAAAGTCTTGATTAAGTAGTAGTTTGGGTTTATGGTGAGCAGTCAGCTGTCTGTACCAAAACCAGGAACGCGGAGTGTCTGGTTAAATTGTCTCTAATGTTTTGTCTCCTCGGCTCAGAAAGCAAAGATGAAGTACCCTCCTTCAGAACAGCATCATGCTGCTAATTGTTGACTAAATTAATGACTTTGAAAATGATTTTCTTAAAACTTTATTCATGTGAGAAAATGACTTTATTGTGACTTCATTCTCATAAACCAATAGTTTTTAATTATAACTTTTTTTCATATGACAATGATTTTGTCCCATCAATTTTTTCTAGTCTAAAGGTTCTTACACACCAGCGAATTTGCGAGGGACGCGAAAAAGCGAGACGAAAATGCGGAAATATTCGCCGGTCTGAAAAATTGCTTTTGCTTATACACACCGGGTGACCACTCTGTGGTACACACTCTCCCCCATCGTTACTCTTGGTGCCAGTGGTGGTGTGTATCGTGTGAACTGCAGCCGTCGTGAACTGGGTCTGTGACGTCATCAACAACATGACTTTTGATGGGCCAGAGGTCTAGCAGGTCCAGATATTCGCCTGCGAATCTCTGAAAAATTCGAAAAAATAAAAGAGGCTTTTTGCCCCGCGGAAAAATTGCTGCCGGTGTGGAAGCTTGCATTGACTTTATGCTGTTTTAAAAAAAGGCGAATAATTCGCTGGGCGAATCCGTGCCTGGTGTGTAAGGACCTTTAGACTTAGAAATAACCTGACTGCTCTGGCGTACAACAACAAATAGGACCCTCCTAATGTAAGTTGGCTTTTTTCTCCCCTCGTTTTTAGCCTCCAGCTCTTTGTGAATGTAGGTGAAACACTGCGTTTGATATAAGTTAGAGAGTAACTTCAGCTTCATGTTAGTTTCCATTATCATGCTAAATTGGTAAGCAAAACTACATGTGCATTATAATATCAGATCCTCTTCCTTTAGTCCAGTCCAAGGGCAGCAGAGCTGGTGAGTGCACCTCTTAGTTAGCTTACTTTAAAGAAAAGTACAAGAATTGAAAAGCCACAGTGTTCAGAGTTGCAACTTTTTCTTCATTTATCTTTAATGATGAGAAGAAGCAGAGATAAATTAAGACAAAAGTCAACACTTATGGTCGAGCAGAAGACCTGTTCACATCATCTAACGCAACCATCACAGGTTACTAACTGTGTTATAGTAAAGGAATCAAGAAAAACAAGTGTGATACAGAGAGGGACACTGAGGACAGAGTTAGTGGTGACAATCAGTGAAATACAAAAACAGGATACAAGGCTACAGAAAAGAGGGATGAGGTGAAAGATAGACAGAAGAAAAAGAGGATGGGGGTAGAGTGAGCAGGAGAGACAGGGAGCCTTTAATTGCTTGGAGGGAGCATGACAATTGAGAGGAGAGTAGAGGGAGGAAAATCTCCAGCAGTATTGATCAGTCCAGCTCTTCCATTTCAGTCGCCTCCACCCCCTCCTGCGTCTCCCCCTTCACCCAATTTGCACCCGTAATTTAGATTGCAGTGTGTTTGTGTTTGTGTGTGCGCGCATATGTGTGTACGTTGAGGTCATTTTGCACAGTGTTTGTCCTTCACTGTGTGCCTACATCTCTTTTGTATTCATTTACTTGTTAATGCGCCTGTCTGTCACGTGTCAATGCAGAGGAACCTGATGTATCACCACAAACGCTGCAGTAAACAGACTGGACACTCACTTTGTGTCTCTGTGCGGGTCTGTGTGCGTTTCCATCGTATTAGGAAACAAATTTCTCAATATGATTAGCTGAGGTGTGTGTGTGTGTGTGTGTATTTTGAGGCATTAGTGTATTAGTCTGTTTCTTGTGTGTGTTATCTGGATGTAGCAGGTGACGGACATGATGGTTGTGGTGGTGTTGGTGGGGGCATCCTACCTGATCGATCTCCTCTCTCCCTTTAGAGTGACCCTGCACCTCCTCCTGCGTCTCGGTCTGGGCCTAATGAGACACTGCTCATCATGGGACCAACACACTCACCCACACACACACACCTAACCTTTCCTCTATCCACAAACAAACAAACAAATCAGCTAAAACCTACACAAACATAGGTAAATGTGCAAAAGCAGAGTTTGAGAATGTAAAAACCAATGCAGAAACATTAAAACGGATTAAAAAAGAATCTATACACGCAGCTTCTCAGTCTGTACTGGGGGTCAGAGTCAAGGCTTTGACCTTCCACCTCTGTCTCAGTCCCAGACTAAATCAATTCCTAACCAGACAGACCCCCCAACACCCCCCCCCCCCCCATTTCCCAAACACAATGACCAGAGTCCTGCTGGTTCTGCAGACAATAGGAGGGACCACCAGAACCTTAAAGACTGTGTGTGGGTGAGGCAGCTTGTGTGTGACAGAGCGGTAAAAGGTGCAGTCTTCTAAGAGACACATTAAAACCAACAGAGAGCACTGATTTGGTCAAATATATCCTCTATGATGTATGCTTGTTGGGCTGATCCCTGTTTGTTTCTTAATCGTTTCGTGTTGGATCCAGTGAGTCGGTATGTTCACATGTTGTTCAAAAAATGATTTATAGCATTTGTCCAACTGGATGTTTAAAATACGAGAAAACACGTTAGTCTGACTGAAACCACATGAAGTCAAACTTCTAGTCATCTGACTAAAACTGGCCTGAGCATTTTGCACATTTTCTGGACTTTGATCTGAAAAGTTGATCGGTGTAAATGCTACAAAGTCGGGTAGTCAACAGCAGCTTGATCAGTCAGTTCATCTTTTTGTTCCAGTATAAAATGTATAAAAGTGTGACCCACTTTATTTAAATTTCACCAGCCAGCACCATAGAAACCTTTTTGACTTGATCGTGTTTTGAGTATTTCTACGAGTGCCATCATGAAAGTGATATTTGTAGTTGAGAACACTGGGACACCTGTTAGGGTAGCAACCACATTTAGATGAGTTGGGAGCAGTATCAGTAACTACAAGTATTTCTACAGGCCTAGTTCTGCTCTAGTTTGTGTCCTTTTGGTGCCTTTTTAAAGCCGGGTAAACTTGATGTTGCAAGTGTCTTTGGTGTGTGCTGTAGCGTAGGTCGCTACATTTCTCTGGGAGGTAGCTGCAGCGATGTGAGGCTTAGTTCAGTGTCAGGTAACCTGTAACTTAGCTCTAATCTCACTACAGTTTCCCTGACGCTGTGTAGATATAAGGGCATGTAACTAAAAACTTATTTTATTCCGTGAACTCACCATGAGTGCTGAAAGAGTGCAAGGATCCACCACCCTCTCAGCATGTCCAACCAGACAAGTTATTCGAGTGAGGTGTGGGAGGATGTTACATAACTGTGGAGAGCACCTGCAGTGAACACAGTCTCACCCTACCTTAAGAAGATGCTCAAGTTCCTAAAATTGTTGAAAGTGTCTGGGCTTTGACTCTGGGAAGTTTCTCTGGGGAGTTTCAGTGTCCCATGACCCAACTTAATGCTTTTTCAAAGTCTTTTCCACTTGGAGCGAGGAAACATCTCGAGGAGACACAGAACCATCTCTTTATTTTCCCTCTATATTTTTACACATTATACATGCTAACAACATGGCTTTAGGGATGACAGTGTTGGCTCATTACTTAGATCTATGCCTAAATATCTCAACAGCTATTTGATCATTGGCAGAAAAATACATGTACTAGTATATACAGTCCCAAAAGGATGCAGAGTAACAGATACATTAAGCAGATGCTTTTGCCCAAAGCAACCAGGGGTGTGGTGGGTGAGGATACCAAGATATGCTGGCTGATTGGTACATGTATACATTACAATATTTTGCATTTTATTAGAATTAAATTGGAACAAGAAACTATAGGATACAGCTGATGTTGCATTCCTTGTGGCGATAGAGCAAACTAATCCTTACTGGTCAATAACAACCTATATCAGGGGACCCCGTCTAAGACCGTGCCTCCAAGTTTAGGAAGCCTGCATTGGCCCATTTCTATAGAACATTCAAATGCATTGACAACACAGCTGGTACTGCATACAGCCTGATTTCCTGTACTCTACAATGAAGTCAGTGCTTGGTGGCTTTTATGTGCTGAGGACTACAAAGAGTGATTTATGCCAACAGAAAAAAGCCTATTCCATATTGAGCACCTTTCAGCAGCCTCTTTAAAACACTTTGGCCCTGTTAAACCATGCAGTACCTGACCGCCCTGCTCAAACTGTTTATTTGACTTGCTGCTGAGAGCACTGCTGTGTGTGTGTGTGTGTGTGTGTGTGTGTGTGTGTGTGTGTGTGTGTGTCTGTGTGCAGGGTGGCAAGATGTGTGTAGATGTGTCCATGAACATCGACTTGTATATATGTTTGTAAAGTACATGTGAATTCAGTCAAATGTGTGTGTGTGTGTGTGTGTTCACTGTGGCGTTAGGCCTTTGCTTCCTTCCTTCCTGTTCAAGCAGACCTGGTCCCTCTACCCACCAACGCTTCTCTCCTCTGGGATGGCAGTTTTAGTGCGTGCGTTCGCCCGCGCGTGCGTATGTGTGTGTTTGTGTGTGTACGTGAGCTTGACACTTGACTGAGCAGGGTGGTCCTACAGGGACTTGTCTATGGGTCTAGTTCCTGATTCTCAGAAACGCACACACCTGCACCATCTCGCTAGCCAAGCGCCCCAAATATAACCTAGAGCATGTGATACACTCAGACTGACCCGCTCTTTGTTTTGCACCTGCCCTTCTTTGTTGACTTTCCTTTTTTCATCCTTGTTGGTTTACCAGAACATTTTCTCTCTTCTTAATTAATAAATAATGAAGTTACCTCCTTCTGTCATGCATCCAAAATAACAAAGAAGATGTACACACTTTCTCTTTCTGGCTTTTATCTTAGACACACTTAAACACTAAGTTGTGAATTGGGTTAGTGTAGGAGCACAGGAAGGTTTGAATATTGCATCATTGGGATGCAGAGCAGCGGTGTTTGGGGTCAGAGCGCTATCATGTTGCCAATCAGCAAGGCAGCTCAGAGCCCTCATCAGCTTTTGATTGCATTTAGAATGGCTAATTAAATAAAATATGACATTATGTAAATGTCTGTGTCTCTGCCATATGGCCCCAGGCACTGTCCCCCACCCCCGCCCCGTCCGCCTCCAGCACACCAGGGGCAACGAAGTGAGAGCTCTAAATGTGTGTGTGTGTGTGTGTGTGAGAGAGAGAGAACCAGAGCCATTGCATGTCCGAGACTGAACAAAGCGATGGTCACAAAAACCTCTTTTCTCAAGGCATGCCTCAGTTCCTTCAATTTGCATCCATGCATCCCACATTTAGGTATTTTCTTTGCATCTCAGTCCCTCCCCCTAGAGATGCAAGAGAGGGAAGGCCAGGATGAGGATATAAGTACATATGTTATAAGAGACATGAGATGTCACTGCTGATCAGTTTTAACAGCTGTTTGTGTCTGCACACACTCTCATAACTATCTAAATAAAATACACAGAGTGAAATGATTTTGTCTTTGTGTGTCAACAGTTATTCATTCTACATCCTGCTTGGCACCATACAGACAATCTGACAGGTAAAATACATAAATTTTAAATAAATAAACTTTTAATTATCTATCATTATAATTGAATCTGATTGTTTACCTTTTCCTTGTTAACAAAGATGAGCTGTTTTATGATGTCTCAGGAACACTCAAAATGATCCATTAAGTCTAAAGTTTTAGGGACTTAAGTCACTTTAAAATAGTCAGCCCCATACACTGCAGACAACAGCTGAGAGGACAATGAATTTAAACAACAGGCTGTCTCATCAGACTGGTTTTTAGATACTTAATACTGTGCTGAAAATAAATAAACAGTAGTTCCACAAGTTCATGGTAGTGGTCTTCAACAGGTTGGCGCTAGCATAAAAGGGGGAGGAGACAAACGACCACTGATCTACAGGAAGCAGCATATATTTCAAAATAAAAGCATGGTGTTTACCTTATCACAGGAAATAAAGAAACTTAAACACAAAACAGAGAAATAAATAAATAAAACACGAAAAGCAATAGTTTATGATGCAATGCCCTCTTTAAAGAAGTTTCATTCACAGGGCCTGTGGTGTAAATAAATTTTTCACATCATTAGTAGTCAGGTGCAAATATGACTTGACCCCCCAAAAATTCAACAAAAGGTTAGGGTTAGGATTAGGGTTAAAATCGCCGTCCAGGAACTTTTTAAGAGCACATTTCAGACCATTTGGAGTCAACTGGTACAAAAAAATGGGAATAATGTCAAAGTTTTTTCAAGTGTTAGGGTTAAGTTGGGGTAACATTGGGGTAGCGGGGTTAGGGTTAGGGTCAAAATCACTATCCAGGACCTTTTTCAGGAAAATGTTTCTGACCATTTTGAGTCGATTGGTACAAAACAAAAACATTAGGAAAATTGTCAAGAAAAAATTTCAAGTGTTACGGTTACGATAAAATTGAGGTTTTGGGGTTAGGGTTATGGGGTTAGGGTTAAAATCACTGTCCAGGACCCAATTAGGCGCACATTTCAGACCATTTGGAGTCAATTGGTATAAAAAAAAAATAGGAAAAATTTCAAAAAAATTTACGGTGTTAGGGTTATGTTTGGGAAACATTGGGGTGTTGGGGTTAGGGTGAGGATTAGGGTTATGAGGTTAGGGTTATAATCACTGTCTGGGACCTTCAAAGGAGCACGTTTCAGACCATTTGGAGTCAATTGGTACAAAAAAAATTAAAAAAAAATGTCAAAAGAAATTTAAGTGTTAGGGTCATGTTTGGGTAACGTTAGGTAACATTGTAGTATTGGGTTAAGGAGGTTTTCCCTAATTCTTTTTGTACCAATGGACTCCAACTGGTCAAAAAATGAACTCCTAAAAAGGTCCTGGACAGTGATTATAACCCTTACCCCAACCCTAATACCCCAACGTGACCCCAACGTAACCCTTACACTTGAAATAATTGTGACATTTTTTCCCATTTTTTTTTGTACCAATTGACTCCAAATGGTCTGAAATGTGCTCTTATAAAGGTCCTGGACAGTGATTTAGACATTGCCAGTTCTGTCCCGCGGCCCTGTCCTCATCCTACTCTATTCTCAGACCTACTCTTCCCTACTCAATCCATAGACCTATCTTAAAATAAAAGCTTTTAAAACCCCTAACCTAACGAATTGCAGAACTACCCTCTCAAATTTATAAACCCCAAGTATTAAAAGTAGCTTGACAAGCATGGTTTTACCTTTGAAGAGGAGGGTATGTTGTGTCTCATTTGTTAGCTTGTTTGTTTGTAGGATGTCTATTATTAAAAAAACAAACAGTTGAATCTGATCATAATGTTTCTCACTGTGGAAATACCGAAGACTTCAGATTTACTGGCAAAGGCTTTGAAAAACATTTTGTGCCTCCAGCAAAGTTTGACAGAGGTGGATGGAATTTCGTCCAACATACTTAAAACATTTCACAAGTTTGTTGTGTTGTGGAGTGTATACACATGTGTCTTTCCCCAAATAATGTCCCAGTTATTATGGGTAATCAGAGCCCCACTGTAAACAATTTTCACTGCAATTTGAATATAAAGAGGAATAAATGTTGGGGCGTGCTGTTAAAGATCCACATTATCTGAAAGTATTGGAAAGCAAAGTGTTTGTAGTTAGGTTCACCACACTCAGATAGACAGACCGCAGTTGGCCGTCTTAGAGAAGGGCAAGAAACAATGATCATTTCAATATGGAGATCGAAGATAATGAAGGGAAACTGAGATTTGAACTTGAAATAGTTGCTGGTTTATCCCTGTACTTATATGTAGGACACCTTTTCACTTTTTCCTATCTTGGTGAAAGTGTTGCAGGGAAACCACTTCTTTCTGGCCATAGAAATGAACAGTATTTGATATGTGCCCATTTTATCCCTGTAGCTGTATCTACTAAAGTGAAGGCCAGCTAACCATTTCAGTCAAGGCCTCATCTTCAGTCTCTCTCCTAGCTCATTGTCAGAGCAGGATGGTCATTTCCTTGATAGTACCCAGGTTTTTACCGCTGACTTTGCTTAGGTAGGGTACACTATATATCTGTGTGTGTTGTGTGTGTGTGTGTGTGTGTGTGTGTGTGTGTGTGTGTGTGTGTGTGTGTGTGTGTGTGTGTGTGTGTGTGTGTGTGTGTGCGTGTCTGGGGGGTTGCCGCCTGTCCAAGTGATAAGGCATATGGAGCAAACCCAGTGTTACCAGGCCAGTCACACATACAGATAAGGGCAGATAATATTCGGAGGAAGAACTGCTGCAGGCTCGACACTGCACTGAACACAACACACACAATACAGAGTGTGTTTTCTTGGTGTCGTATTTGAGCGTGTGTTTGCGTAGACATAAAGGCCTCATAAAGTGTGTACATGTGTGTGTCTGGGAGCAATCTTTTGCACATGGCTGTGTGAGCGTGCCTTCCTACAGAAGATTGTGAGGGGTTATTACTGTAAAAAAAAGGGAGTTTTAAAGAAATCTTTTGTGCTTGCAGCTTTCTTTGCTCCCTTGCTGCTGATTCAATATAACAGCTTAAAACAGCTGCAATGGATGTTCCAGACAAGATGTTTACTCATTAATGTGCACCCTCCAAAAATGTGTCTGGATATTGTGTAAATTCACACTACAATCAGAATTGGATGGTTTAAACCTTTTTTGAAAATAGAATGAAGATGACATGGCAAATGTGACCAGTTTCTAATGTGGCATGATACAGGGTTTTAACCTCTTTTTTAAGAGATATTTTAGGGTCCTCTTTATTATATTTTTCATTGCATGATGCAGCAAATGTTTTAAATGGGTGATAAGTCATGACTGCAGGCAAGTTAAGCACCTGGACTCTTCTACTACAGAGCCATGACAGAGCCAAGGCTTGGTTTGGATGGTAAGGTATGTTGCGTGGATGGTGCCTATGCCTTTGTAGATGTGTGAACCACTCAAGCCATGGGCACCCAAATCATCAGGGTGGTCCCTCTTCTTTTTAGAGCAGAGGCCTCCATGATTTCAAAAAGAGATGTCAAAGGAAGAAATGCCTTTTCCATTCCTAGTGATGTTAGAAGCCTGACACAAATGAACCCAATCTGAATAAATATGCTCCTTCAGGTTGCCTTTGAGCAATAAAGGGTGTTCAATCAAATTCTGGTTATACCATTATTCTGCCCAAGACCCAAACTTTCTAAATTCAACTTTTGCATTTAGAGAGTGCTTACATTTACACTTGTTCTCATAGTTAGCCAGCATGTTCAAAAACTACATGTATAACCAGAGTCCCAAAACAGGGGCTGCGAATTGCGAGGGCTGCATTTGAAGACCAAATGTGCCAAAGACTAACCCATTTCAGATCCCCTTACATTTAAGAATAAGTGTCCAACAAACAGAGTCTCATGTACTTTTTCTGCGTCATTTCCTCATAGATCACTTTTAATGTCTGAGTTAACTGATATTAACATGCTCATGTAGAGGCTGGGTGTTGTGCTTTCACTCACAGAACTTTTTCTGCTCTCTCTCTCTGCCGCTTACACACTTTCTTTTCCCCCCTTTTATTTTTCACAAGCCTGAAGTCTCTCTTTCTCCTTCCTCTCTGTCCATACACCATAACCAGACCACAGAAGGGGCTGCTGCAGAGCGAGAGGTTGTGGTTGGCACACATATGCCCAGAGGGGCCCAGGCTTGTCAACTCTCTAGCCCCACATCTGGAGCCTCCCGCTGGGCCAGCAGCCTCCCTCCAGCCCTCCCCCACCACCACCACCACCACCACCACCACTCCCCGGAGACCACTGAGCACACACACACGCACACATAGGGGATGTATACATGTACATACATATTCACATTCACACAACTCAACACTCCACTGTCATTGATACACACACACACACACATAAACACAAACGGAAGTACTGACATACTTTTATGTACAAATGCTTGCACAGAAACGCATAAAATTGGAAAAAACACACAACATACACACAAAGACACACACTCAAACGCCCACTCACACACACAGTTTACAGACACACACATTAAACTCTAAAACATTATGCTAATCTACAGCCGGCGGCAGAGGATGGCACTCTGCTCGGCCTCATGCCAGAGTCCCTTTCATTTTATATGATTAACCAGGAGGAAGGACACAGAGAGAAGAAGAGACACTGTCTGCTGTGAGAGGAGTCGACCGGACAGCAACACCTACTCTCTCACTCTTTTACTTCTTCACACGTCCACCAATCAAAACACACATGACAACATTATCAGACAACAGAGTAAAACAACCAGGGCAGACTGGGCTTCAGAGGCGATATCCGCCTGTAGAGAAGAATCACGCAGAGACGTTTTCAGCTCATGCTTTGTGTTTGACTGATATGGATTTCTGAAGGCCATAGCCAAACATACCAGTCATTTAATACCCAGGAGGATAATACTTCAACTCTGTGCCACATTGTGGTTTTCCTCAGATTTTCTGCTAAATCTTTTTGTACTTTTCACAGTCATAAAGAATCTTCTCTGCAGCCACTTTATTGTGTAAACCCTCACTCATGATCTGCCAAGTATGTTCTTAGGAGACTCCTGAAGGTTATCATCTGCTCCTCTGAATATCTCTGCATTAAATTTGAAGAAACAATTATTCTCTGATATTTATCTTTCTCTGATATTTACACTTGACCTGCTGTAATCCTAATGAAAAGAAATAAAAAGAGAGCAAAGACTAATACTTCATAATTCTTTGACTTCATGTTATCAAAATCTCATGATGGCTCATGAAAGTCATAATGAACTATTTAAAGCTTTGATATTTGACATTAGCGTTGAGCTGAATACATTTTCGGGACTAAATAAGGGGCAAAATATTGAGTTTGAAGATCAGTGCCACAGTGGTGAAGGTACATGTGTCATGTGAGCAAGAAACGCATGAATTTCTTATTTTGCAGATAAGCAGGGAACTTTCTTGTCTCTTGTTGATCTTTGGTTGCTTCTTATTGGACACTACCATCAAGGGAACAATAGAAAAAGAATATGAGACCATGCAATTGGTAGAAAGTTTGACAGAAAAAGACGTCATCAAATCAGCTTGTCAAACCTGGAAGACATTAGCGGCATTTACCGATAGCGATCTTTTTTATCACAACAATATGATAAATAATCCTGTTTCACCAGTATATCACAGTGGATTTACCATCAGACGTCTCTGACCAAACACCTATTTTTGTGGCTGGATTGTAAACCTTCTGGCAGGTGTAGAAATGCTTGGAAACCCTTGATAGATTGCCAAAAGAGTAAGCTTTAGAACAGTTTTTATCTGATAGAGATATGCGGAATAGTTCCTGAGAAACTGTAAACAATATCAATGCTGTCACGTGGGATCACCCACGATCCAGCGGAGTTCTAAGTGTTAACTGTCAAATCAACACCACATGGAGTCCACAGATCTCCATCTGAGCACTAGCTTGGATATTTTTATTTCACAAAGTGAATGACACCAAGGCCAATAGGCATTTCTTGCACCTACATACAAGGTTAGATTTTTTTTTTCGTACTCATTGCTTGGTGTAGCTGCAAATCATTTGCTGCTGATGTTTCTTCGAAGGTGCATCTGATTCATGAAAAGGAGGCTGTGATAGTAGGTGTCGTCTGAAGGACATGATCAGTGCATGATGGGCTACCAGCTGTGTCAGATCTGATCTCAGGTCAGTAAAATGCTGTCCAGTGATTACAGAGAAGGAACATCAATACACATGACAAGGTGTGTCCTACTAGGATCAAACCTTATACTGTATAAAACTTGAACATTCACTCATTTTATCTGGGGCAGAGTTTTGAAGCCTATCGATAGTGTTTGTGATAGTGATCAACCGACGATGAGGTAAAGAGCTGGAGTTTAGGCGGGTCTTAAGTCTTAAGTTTTTTTAATGTTCGCTCTAAAAACTGGCTTTTTGAAATGAGTATTTGTGGTTCATTGTGCTTCTGCAGCCAACCCTAAGTGGACACTCAGAAAACTGCAGTTTAGCGCTTCTGCATCAGTTTCATTTCTCAAGCCCGGAAGTTGCCACTTGGAACAAACTAATCTGTTTTGAAATACAGGATGTTCAAACTGTGTCAGGACCGTTGGCCTGAGACCTTTGTGATTATTTTGCGTCCCACTAACTTGTAGGCACGTTAAGATTCAACACCAGTGAGACAGGACTTCTCTCTGACAGCCACTGTGTTAAAAACTTCAAGTTTGGTTGCTGTTGATTTACTATGCAATATACAGAGAGTTTAAAAGTGAAGTTAAAGCTTTAAAAACAAAACAGTAAGTGGAGGATGGTTGGAAAGCTTCAAGATATACCAAATCAAAGGGGAAAGACAGTCTTTCGGCTGTTCAAATGAGGACTAAAGAACTAGGGAACTGGGAGATTTCTTTTACCTGGGCCCTATTTTCTTATGTGTTGTTGTGTGCTTGACTGATGGGTTGAACAATTTCTAAAATAGGTTCAGAAATAGAGCAGCTGGCAGCCACAAAACAAGCTTAAATACAGTTTGACCACGCAACTGTGCATTGTCACACATCATCCACTATAAGCCCTTTATTTCACCACTGACACACACTCACACACACACACACACACACACACACACACACACACACACACACACACACACACACACACACACACACAAAAACGTATTTCTTTCCTGTTCTCAAACAAGCTCTGCTCTGGTCCTGGTGCTATCTGACTATCCTGGTGTCACTCATTCACATGTCCTCTGTTTCCATCTTGTTTTCACTCTACATACGTTCCTTCACCTGCAGAGCCCTGATCAGACATGCAGTTTACTGTGGAAATAAGATGACTCCTTTAAGTTTGCAAAAGAAAAATAAGCCTCAGCCATAGACTGTAAATAGTATGAGCATTACTCTGCCTCACTTCAGTGTATGAATTTGATGGCAAAATGCTCCCGGTATTTCCAGGATTTTCTCCATCTATGAAACCGGCATTTGCACAGGAGAGTCACTGTGATGATGCTCTGCTCAAACAGCGTACCCCCCGGATGTCCTATCCAACTTTCTTATGGCCATAGGCTGTATCAGGTGTCAATCATAGAAAACATAAACCCCTTATAACTTAAAAATGGAGCTGCACAGAAAAAAGAGGACTTGAACACAAACCAGTC